TCTGAGGAACAGCCTGGGGGCGTGAAACAGAGCAGGACCCTGAAAGAGTTAACTCAGAATGCATACTCTGAGTAAAAGAACTAAAAGAACCAAAATTCAAGGCTAGCGGAAAATAACACTCTTCCAAAGAATAGGGACACACTGACAAAAAAGAACATAAAGTAAAAATACAGGAAAACAGAAATCACTAAAATGCTGACATACATACTTAAATAGACATAAGAAAGGACATGAGAGATAAAAAAGAAAGGAGAGGGACAGGGTCCAGAAACTCCTGCCAAATACATGTTAGAGTCAGCAGAATTTAGAAAAGGTAAAGAGTTCACTGATGAAGAGGAGTCAAAAGACCCTGGCCCGGAGGCCAAAGAACAGGATCTCTCCCTGCACATCTCCCCAAAAAAGGACTACTCTACCCAGACTCCTCCCCAACTCCACCTGCTATGAATATTATAATGAAATGCTGCAATACTATGAATATGCATGTAAGATGATGTAATATCCCACTAAAAACTGTATAAATATTCTCACTGCTCAATGACAGCCTTGGAACTCTTTGTTCGGCAAGGACCAGAGTTCCCCAATGTTGCTTAAATAAATACCTTGCTGTTGAAAGACTTAAACTTGTCTCTGAGCAGTTCCCTACACCTGTTGGGACAAAAATTCAGCATCGGGGGAGACACAAATCCCCCCCCAGGTCCAGCAGAGCCTCTGTTCCGAGGAACAGCCTGCAGAGAGACATAAATCCATCCCTAGATCCCAACAAGACTCTGTTCCCCTGAACAGCCCTGGGGCGGGGGGTAAAGGCACAAACCTTTCCCCAAAATCCTGAAACGATAAGTCAGCAGCGCACTCCAACAGGCCATGCACCCCACCTGTGGATCCTGCCATTCACCACATAACAGGGCACAACCCTACAAGCCATATATGTACTTGCAGACCCCACCCTGTCCGCAACAACAGTGTTTTCATATTTGGCATCTCATCCTCATAGACAGAAATGTAACAGGGCGAGTTTGAAAGGATGTCGATACTGAAAACCAAGACACTGCTGAGAGCTCAACAATAAACCCAATATTTATTACAGAAAGTGGCCAAGTAAATGGGAACCCGAGAGACAGGAAAGGAGAGGAGTGAACTAAGCCCTCAGTGAAACCCCCACTCATGCAGGTGTGTTTTACAAGGTTGTCTTACCGACCCCAGAATAACCAAAATTCCCCATAGCAGAGGTTGCATCCTTGGAAGGTCAGCAGGCTCACAAAGATAGCAGGTGTCCCCGCAAAAAGGCACCATTGTCCTTCATGTGAAGCTTGAGATCCCCGAGCACAAGCCACCTGCATTTTTTATCCAATTAGCTGGTGACATCTACCTGGGCTGGTGTGACCAGCACAGCCCAGCTAGAGACCTTGGGTCCCTCCCCCCGTTATGTAAGCTTACCCCTTCAGCGCATGCGTGAGAACTTTGGAACTCCTCTCTCACATGCGCTGTTTCACTCAAGAGGTCTTATCTGTTTGGGTCTGGGGGCTTTACTTCATCCTCTCCTCTTCAGTTTCTCCTTCAAATGTCCTCTACAGACAATGAGCCAATCAGAGAACACCAATTAAAACGGTTTATACAAGAAACTGTCTCTCCAAGGACAAAACTCCCATTTATCAATGAACTTGGCAGGCAAAGAACGAAACTTTTGCAGGTGACTGGGCAAACACAGATCAAAAAAAATATCAACAATCCCTGATACACCTTCCCTGCTGAGCTTGAGCAGTCTGGAACTCTGCCAAGCCTCCTTGCTGCCCTGTTTGCAGACTGGTTCCATGTGTGCCTTTACCAAGGTCCCATGAACCTCTGGGATGGCTCTGGCCTTTGCAAGGGTTTGGGAGAGGTCTCCCAGTGACACTGCCCAGCCTTCTCAATATCCCTGACACCAAAACCTTTTCTATTACTCCACCGTTCCCATTTAGTTCTCAGGACACAACACATATTCTCATGGTTCTTGAGGAGAAAATTAGAAGTGATTTCATTCTAGAGGTCAAGTGGTGGAGCGACCCAGTCTGCTCTGGCCCAACAGCACTGCCCACCCCTTTCTGGGCACTCCCCCCACAACCCCAGCCCCTCTGAAAGGCACAACAGCTCCTGGGGAACAGAGAGGAGTCTCAGCATCCCCATCAGCTCAGGGGCTGGGCACTCAGCATGGCAGGAGGAAATGCAGGTAAGGGAAACTGCAGGAGCCCTGGTGTCATCTCCAGGAGATGCCCAGCACAACCTGACTTTGTCCCTCAGTGCCAGCCACTCTCCCAAGCCCAGTACAGAGTCCTTGCCAAGGGACAGAGCAGCCTGTCCCGAGGGGAGGTTGCAGAAAGAGGTTTCTTTGTGCCATGGATTCCTCTCTGCAGGCACAGAAATGCTGCCTTGCTCTTCTTCAGGGACATCCCTTTCCCCAGGGCAGTGTGTCCAGGTTGCCTTGGGCAGTTGCAGATCCCAGTCTATGATCCCTGCAGGGCCCTGAGCTAGAGGTGCTGCTCTGCAGAGGGAGGGGCTGTGGCACCCTAGGGTGACCCTGCACGGGCCATGCTGGTCAGCGTGGGAAGTTTCAGTAGCAGGATGGGGATCACTCCTCTCTACCCTCTTCCATATTCCTGGAAGGCTCAGTAGTCAAGAACGAGGTTGGGCAGGACCATGAGCTATTTCCAGTGTCACAGAGGACAGGAGAGGGCTCCACTCCATCCAGCCTGTGGGCTGGAGAGTTCTTCAGGACACCCTCCTGGAAAGCCCACCCCTGGCTCTGGTACAGCCCTCCCTGAACTGGGGAGGCACAGTAGGAGTTCACTGAGGGGATGAGGAGTCACTGACCAGAGTCCTTTCTCTGTTCCTGCTGCATTCCCCTGGGGTTGCAGAACTCTCCTTGACCAGTTCCCAGGGAGGTTTAGTACTTTAGCTCTGGGTGACTCCACCGAGGGCAGGATTCTGCTCCAGGGTTCCATTCACTGCTGAGTGTATGGGACGGGCTGTCCCTGCAGATCCTCTGTGCTCTCCTGCAGTTCCTCATTTCCTACAGACAAGTCCTCACCTGCCATCAGAGCCAGCACCAGCTGCAGAGCCCCAGGCAGGTGACTTGGAGACCATTTGCCACAGGCCACCAGCACAGAACATCTGACCCAGCCCTCAGTCCCTGAAGTACCACAGTCAGTTGCTTCTCTCCCTGCACGGACTGAATGGGGAAACGAGCAGACTTTGGAGAGTCTATTCCTTGGCCTTGTTCTTTACACCAACCATTCAAAAAGGACAAAGTCTTCAGGAACTGCCCAGGGGTGCATCCCCTTTCATGATGGAAATGGTGTTAAGGAGCCTAGTTCAGTGTCAGCAGTGCCCAGGGCCTGTCCCTGCCCATGGTCACAGGACTGACACACAGCAGCGACTGAGCTGCCAGAGCACTCAGGCCTTGGGCAAAGAGCAGAAAGGAGAGGGAGGCAGTGGAAAAAGAGCATCTCTGAAAAGCCCAAGAGCTGCTGCTCCCTGGCAGTACTCCTGTCCCAGGACTCTTTACCCCTTCTCCTCTGCACACAGACACTGCCCTCCAGCTTCAGGGAAGTTCATGAAGGAAGAATCTGGAAAAAAAAATTCAAGTCCTTTATTATACTCAGAGATTGTGATTCCTCATGTACAGAATGATTAAACAGTGAGTGTTCTGCTGAAGAAAAGAGGTAGGTTATTGCTCCCGAAAAGCATCCAGTCATCATTTTCCTCAGGGCATCCTTGAGCTCCTGGTTCCTCGGGTTGTAGATGAGGGGGTTCAGTGCTGGAGGCACCACTGAGTACAGAACTGACAGGGCAAGATCCAGGGATGGGGAGGAAATGGAGGGGGGTTTCAGGTTGGAAAATATGGCAGTGCTGACAAACAAGGAGACCACGACCAGGTGAGGGAGGCACGTGGAAAAGGTTTTGTGCCGTCCCTGCTCAGAGGGGATCCTGAGCACAGCCCTAAAGATCTGCACATAGGAGAAAACAAAGAAAATAAAACAACCAAACACTAAACAGGCACTAACCCCAAGAAACGGAAGTTCCCTGAGGTAGCCTGAGTGTGAGCAGGAGAGCTGGAGGATGTGGGGGATTTCACAGAAGAACTGGTCCAGGGCATTGCCCTGGCACAGGGGCAGGGAAAATGTATTGGTTGTGTGCATCAGAGCATTGAGAAACCCAGCAGCCCAGGCAGCTGCTACCATGTGGGCACAAGCTCTGCTGCCCAAGATGGTCTCATAGTGCAGGGGTTTGCAGATGGCAACGTAGCAGTCGTAGTACATGATGGTGAGGAGGGAAAACTCTGCTCCAAGAAAGAAGACAAGCAGAAAGACCTGGACAGCACATCCTGCATAGAAGATGTCCCTGGTGTCCCAGAGGGAGTTGTGCATGGCTTTAGGGACAGTGGCACAGATGCAGCCCATGTCTGTGAGGGAGAGGTGTAGCAGGAGGAAGTCCCTGGAGGTGTGCAGGTGGTGGTCGCAGGCTACGACGCTGAGGATGAGGCCATTGCCCAGGAGGGCAGCCAGGGAGATGCCCAGGAAGAGCCAGAAATGCAGGAGCTGCAGCTCCTGCCTGTCTACTAATTCCAGGAGGAGGAGGAACTGGGCCATGGAGCTGCTGTTGGGCATTGGCTGTTTCTTAGTACAGGGTCTGTTCAGAAAAGGAAGTCACATGGCAGAGTTAAGACAGAAACCTCCGCTCAGCTGGATGGAGCTGTCCCTGCCAGCAGTTTCTTCCCTGGGTCCAGGGCTGGGCCCTGGCAGTGCTGCCAGAGCCCAGCCCAGCCCTGGGGGCTCAACTCTGCCCTGCAGAGCCCTCCCAGCAGCACAGGGCACTGCCCAGGGGCTGGTCTGCCTGGGCAGGCTCCGATGGTAAAGTCAGAGCAACCCTGAGGAGGACTGAAAAGGGAAACTGATGTTGTCTCTAAGACAGTTTTGATGTCTGATACTCTCAGGTTCAATTGCCTCTAATCTAACAGAGTTCAAGAGTTCAAGTTCCTCTGCTCAGAGATTAATTTCTCTGTCACAGTGAACACCCAGACAACCCCGAGTGTAACACTGAAAGAACTGGTTCATTCTCTTTAAGGTACCCCCTGTGTGTCTGTGCCTCCTGAAAATACCTTCTGGGAAATTTCCTGCTTTGATCTGGAGCTGTGACCAGCCCTCATCCCTGCAGCACACTTTCGAGTTTAGAAGGACTCTGCCCTGCTCTGCCCTACCAGGAGTTGCTCCTTGCTCACAGTCCTTCTCCCCCAGCCCACTGGAGCTCCTTGTCCTGGTTGAGAGCTGCCCCTGGCAGGCAGCAGAGTCCCTGCCCCAGCACACAGAGCCCTGAGGGGAAGGACCCTGCTCGGCACCACAGCCCTGGGCACCCCTGGCTGCACCCCCACCTTCCCACCCCACAGGCAGCCATGGCAGAGGGAACCTTCTTGCCCTGTGCCTCTGATGGGGCAGCAGCAAGTCCTGCTCTGGAGCAGCTTCTCCTGCTGCACCCCAGTAAATCTAGCAGAGTCATTGTCCCAGTTTAAATGAGACAAGGGTCTTTTGCTGAGGATGAGTTATGAGAAAAGACCCAAACTCCTCCTTCTAAGCAATTATAAATCCAAAATTAAGAGACTTCGATTGAAGGAAAAACAAATTATGGAAAAGGAAAAATAACAGCCCTTTATTAAAAGGTATGTGTGTATTAACAGAAACACGAAAAAAAAACAAACAAGTAAAACGACCAAACAATACTCCTATACCCACAAATAATCCCCTTCAAAAACAAACCAATAAACCAGCAAAAGGAAAAGTAAACAGTTCAATTTGTGCCCTTTGGTGCAATTCCAACCACGGTCAATAGGGGGAGCTGTTGGGTAACTGGAGATGCAGAGCTTGTAATGTCCTATAGCAGTCACCAGGTGGCGCTGTTGGATCACTGGAGGTGCAGAACTTGTAGTGTCCTGTAGCAGTCACCAGGGTATGCCAGGGAAAACCAAAAACTGGGCCCCCCCCTTCCCTTCCCACACACTGGGAAAGGAGAGAGGGAGAGGGGGGAAGGGAAAACAGCAACAAACAGAAATTTCTCCCAATGAAAAAAACTCACGATCTTCAGCTGGTTGGAATTTGCTTCAGGCAGGGCCCGCAGCTAGCAATGGCTGAGCAGAGAGCAGCAGCAAGCTTCCCCTCCGAAGTGTGCTGCAGCCCACAGCCCAGTCCACCAAAAACTCCTCCTCCCCTGTTGCCCAGGAGACAAGAGAAAAGGGTAAACAATGGCCTTTCATCTGCCCCGTTTCCTAGGAGACTAATCTCTCAGCCACTAGCCAGGCCAACTAGTTCTTTGTATTTCTCAAGTGTTCACTTGATAGCTCTGCAGCAGGGGCAGGGGGAAGGGAAAAAATTCCTGCTAGGCTTCCAAGAACTAGTTAAACCATGACAGCCATCCTGACAGGTCCTGTCAGGGCTGGCATGCGGCAGGTGGAAGAGGCACTTGCAGGAACTCACCTGCACTGCTCTGCAGCCAGAGCCTTACCATGGCAAAGGGCTGGCAAGGTTCCTCTCTTGAGGAGCTCTGCCCTGTCCTCCCACCCCAGGATACCTTTCACCTCCTTCTCCTGTCTGCCCTTGCTGCCTGCAGCTCCTGTCCTGCTCTGCCATAGGACCACTTCCTCTGCACTGCAGGAACTGAGAGTCCTTCTGAAAGATCCTACAAGCTTTAGGAGATCCCTTCAGGAAGGGAAGTTTAAGTTTCCTACAGCCAGAGAATTCTTCATTCAAATCCTGTGAAGGTTTCTCCCATAGTGAGAGCTCAGTCCCCTCCCAGACCAGGTTACCCCTCCTCCGTCTCCCTTCCCTCCTGTGCCCTCGGTGCCTGCAGGCAATGCCCTCAGCCCTGCTGGGTTGTGCAGAGGAGCTACTCCTGGACAGAGCTGTCTCTTTGAAGCTCTTCTTGGTTGCCAGGAGCTCCCTGTGTGCCAGGAGCCTGGCCCAGCTCAGAAGCCCAGCAACAGCCCCAGGCATTTCATCACCCTGGGGGAATTTGGTGTTGTTTACATGAGACTCAGTCCCTGAGAGTAAGTTCAAATAACTTCTCAAGAAGTCAAAGTGAGATTGAAACACTAAAGTTTTTGCAGTGCTAATGAGTCTCAGGACACAACTGAAATCGTGTCCCCAAGTTCCAGATAGAGCAGAAAACTGCAGATAGTGATGACAAGTCAAGAAAAGCAAGAGAAAGGTGGCACTAATGCTGAGGAAACCTGTATGTGTGAGTAGGGACAAGGAGGTCATGTGGCCCCAGGGCTGCAAGGGGCACTTGTCTCCTCCTGGCATCAGTGGCATACACAGCAGCCATGGCCAAAGGCCTGCAGAAGGTGACTCTGTCAGGGCCTTTCAGCTTCTGCACATGCCTCTCTCCTCTCCAACCCAGGTTGTCCTGCAGTGTCCATGCCCTGCCCCTTTCCCTGCAGGCTGTCGTCATCCCCCCGGCTGCCCCACCTGGCTGGCCCCTTCCTGCACTGACATCTCTCTGTTCTCCATGGCTCTTCCTGCACACACAAAGCCTTGGGCTCATCCAGACTCCTCCTGGTTGATGTGTTGCACCACAGCACTGCCCTTGGAGTGAAATTCTTTTCTCCTCTTGCCAGCCTGGACCTCCTCAGCTGCACTTGGCATTATTTCTTTATTTCTTCTGCATTTTTCTGCTACCACAAAAGCATCCACCCTCTCTGAAGCGACTCTTCAAGCACTCACAGGGTTCTTCTCTACTGTCCTCTGTCTGCACACCACTGAACCCGGGACTCCTTTGCCCCTGTAGAGTGGTCATATGTTTGAGACCTTCAAACCCCTTCCTGGGACATCTCTGAGCACTCTCCAAGGTGTTTGGAGATGAACACAGGGAGCTCATAGCCCAAGATAGTCACAGTGATACATTTTACCAAGGCCTGTAGTGGCAGAACACGGAACAATGGTTTTAAACTGCAATAGGGGAGATTTATATTGGATAAAATGAGGAAATATTTACTAATGGGGTTGGGAAGAACTGCAACAGAAGAGGATGACCCATCCCTGGATTGTCCAAGGTCAGGAACTTTGAGCAGCCTGAATTATTGAAGATGTCACTCCCCATGTTCAGGGGTTTGGACCACATGAGCTTTTATCTCCCTTCCAAGCCAAACCATTCTGTGATTCTTTGAGTCTAATATTCCAAACTCCTTCTCCAAAGAATTTCTATTGCTGGGACATGAATTGCCATGTTTTTGGAGAAGCCATTGTAAAACGGTAAAAACTCAATTCAAATAAAGTTCCAACATCTCTGTGTGAGAGTTTCACCAAATGGGTCAATGGCAGAGCCTGCCAGGATGACCTTGCCAGTTGAAGATGGGGGATTCTGTTTGGGGTCTGAGCCTTATGATGGGCAATAAGAAAGCACATCTGGGGACTGTGCAAGACCTGTCGTGGGATCTCTAGGGAAGAACCAAAGGAAGGAAAATGGTGGGATCAAGGTGGTTTGTGAAGGGATGGGTGTGAGAAAACAGAGAGAAAAGGGGATGAAAAAGCTGGTCATGATAAACAGGAGGCTGGTCAAGACACGTCTCTGGCTGTACTCTGCAAGTGATCCCCACAGCCTGTCCCATTTTCTTAATAACTCCATTGACAAGAAGTTTCGCTGGCCAGGGAACCTCTCTACTCCTGGCACAGATTGTGGCCCAAGTTCCAGCCACTGCAGCAGGAAACACTAACAGTAAACTCCTCTGTTCTTTTTGGGGCCCAGACTGGGGTGTGTTTGTGTTGGAAGCACAAAACACTGAAGCAAATGCAAAGCTCAACCCGCGATGGGGCCCATGGGGATCAGAACAGACACAGGAATCAGATGACAGTCCTGGGCTGGGTTGCCACAGTGTCAGGAAGGAACGTGGAGCGGAGTGGAAGCTGCGTGGTCTCGTTCTTCTCCTTGATACCCAGAGATGTTTTGTACAAACCAGATTGGCACCTCCTACCAAGAAATATTCTGTACAATGTGCCCACAAAAGAAATGGAAGGTTGGACCACAGTCCCACCCACAGCACTTTGCACAGTCCTGGTTAATAAGGTATAAAATGTCAGCCTGACTTTGTCCCTAAGTGGGGATGAGAATTGGACACCAAATCTGCAGGGACAGATGGAGGGGTTTGTCCCCCTGGCCCTCCTCAGAAGGGACACCTTTCAGGAAGTGTTGTGGCCTTGGCTGTGCTGAGTGTTGAGCCGGGCAATGCAGTTTGTGATTGCAGTGGCACTGTCAGGGCTCTGCAGAGCTCCTCTGAGTTCATGCCTTTGTCCCCAGCAATGCCAGAGAGCTGCAGGGGCTGCATTCAATGCCTTGTGCTCTTGGCGAGCCTGCCTGGCTCTTCGGAATGGGAGCAGACCTGGTGTGTTCAGACTGTTCCTGCCTCCAGTGTGGGGCCTGGAGTGATGTGTTTGCAGCATTCAATTGGCGCAGTGGGCAGGATGGCCGTGGATCCATTCCTGCACAAACACAATCATGCTCCATCCAAAGCAGGGATACAATGGGCCCACAAGTTTTGGAAGAATAAGAACAAGGGAGTTTTGGCACTGTGGAACCCCATGGAACCAAAGGAACTCTGAGACCCGGTGGAACCTCATGGAATAAA